AGAATTATATTTTTAATAAATGACATCGGTGTCATTTCTTAATCTCAGATAGGAACGGAGGAATTAATTTTCAAAAGCGCGGAGAAACCCCGAACGGCTTTCCGATGTCGAGTGAGCCCGGAGGGGCTACCCGATTGGAAAATTCATTTCTCCCTCCACCCCCCTAATTGAGAGAAAAGAATGAAACCGACGCCGATCGATCGAGAATTAAATTCTCAATGAATGACAGCGGTTTCATTCCTTAATCTCACGTAGGAGCGGAGGAATGAATTTTCAAAAGCGCAGAGTAACCCCGAACGGCTCTTCGGAGGGCCTCCCCCGATTGGAAAAGTCATTTCTCCCCCCCCTAATTACGATGAAAGAATGAAAGCAATATCGATCGGTGGAGAATTATGTTCTAAATAAATGAGAGCGGTTTCATTGCTTAATTTCTATCAGGAGAGGAGGAATGAATTTTAAAATCGTGCAGTAACTCCGGACAAGTTCTTCTCATTCAAAAATTAATTTCTCCCCTCCCTAATTGAGATGCAGAAATGAAACCAAAGCCTACCGATCGACCATTGCTTTTTTAATAAAGGACATCGGTTTCATTTCTTAATCTCCGTTGGGAGCGGAGGAATGAATTTTCAAAAGCGCGGAGAAACCCCGAACGGCTCTCCGACCTCGAGTGAGCTCGGAGGGACTCCCCCGATTGGAAAATTCATTTCTCCCACCCTAATTGAGATGAAGGATTGANTGAATTTTCAAAAGCGCGGAGAACCCCCGAACGGCTCTCCGACGTCGAGTGAGCTCGGAGGGACTCCCCCGATTGGAAAATTCATTTCTCCCACCCTAATTGAGATGAAGGATTGAAGCCGATACCGATCGATCGAGAATTAAATTCTCAATAAATGACAACGGTTTCATTCCTTAATCTCAAGTCGGAGCGGAGGAATGAATTTTCGAACGTGCGGAGAAATCCCGAATGGCTCCACGGCGTCGAGTGAGTCCGGAGGAGCTCCCCTGATTGGAAGATTCATTTCTCTCCCCCCCCCCC